GCCACGTGGCAGAAAGAAAATAAAAGTTCATAAGAGACCAAGAGCCGGGTGGTGTCCGGAGACGAGCCGAGCTCCTAGAAGTGGAAGTCCTTCAAGTCCGCGGAGCAGCGGTGCCTGCCGGGGGCACGCCGGGAGCACAGCAGGGCGGGCTGGCAGGGACAGGCGTGGTGCTGGCGTCTCCCGAAGAAGGGGACCTGGGGGAACAGGAGAGGAAGGATGACACTGTCACCCAGGGACGCGGGCCTCCTGGCAGGGCCTCTGCTGGGCCTGGCCCCGGCCTGCGTCCCAGCACCCCCGCCCCAGCACAGTCACAGCCAGGAGAGGAGGAAGCGGGGCACAGAGTGGCTACGCAACGGGCCACCATCACACAGCTAATCTGTGGAGGAGCCAGGATTTGAACCCAGGGAATCTGGTTCCCGAGACCATGGATCAGCCATAGCACAAGGCTGTCCACCCCCAACCCTGAAACCCCACAAGCCTCCAGCACTGGTCCCCTCACTGGCCCACCCAGGTGCTCACACACACATGCACACACGCACGCACACACACACACACACACGCACACACACACACACACACACCTCGACAGAATGTCACTTATAATTCATCCACCACGCCCCACAGTGGCGGGCCCTGGGGACGCAGCTGGACAGGACTGACACTGCTCCGCCCTGTGGTCACCCCAGAGCAGAGCTGAGCCCCGAGGTCCTCAGGGGGTTGGAGAGGAGCGATGAGGGTCACACTGCCTGGCTCGAATCCCAGGCCTGCCCCTCACCAGCTTTGTGACAATTGGCGAGTTATTTAGCCTCTCTGTGCCTCAACTTTATTATCTGTAAAATGGGTTCATAGCAGCCTAACACATACGGTGGAAAGAGGCTTAAACTCGTACAAAGCACTTAGTAGGGAGAGTGGCTCCAGTCCCGGCTCTGCCTCGCGGGCCCTGGGCCCCGAGCGAGTGGGCGCAGTACCTTGTGGCTGCCGGGGTGGCAGGCCTCTCCTTCCCG